CTGGTTGCTAGGGCAGTAAACATCCAATTATCATACTCAAATCTGTTTAGTCCCTCATATATATATATATATATAAATAACATTATAACATATAACAATTAAATGAAAAATGTCTAAAATAATTAATTTTAGATGTAATGTATTTTTATAATTAATTTTCATATTTATTCATATATAATTAAACTTTTAAAAATAGTAATCCCTTTTTATTTAAATATGGGTGCGTGTGTGCATACTTATTAAAAAATTATTAATTTGTTATTATTCTACTTAATACTTTTTGTGTAATCTGTACATTCAAACTCGAGAATCAAAAAAAAAAAAAAGCTTATTCTTAATATCTTATTGTGTTCCAGGGGAAAATCCTAAGTCTGATTGCTTTTAAAAGTAATAGCACAACTGCAATCCTATTTGAAATATCTTTTACATCTGTAGTATAAACAATGCAGGACTTGTTACATGCCAAATAGTGATGCCTGACTTAGCAAGAAGATGGAAATGTGAGCAGATTAATTCCTGCTGTATGATATTATCCATATTTCACATATTCTGACATTTACACAACATTTACACAGGAGCCTATATAAAAACATCAAAACATGTTCAGTGGGAGGGAAAGACAAGGCAGGGGTTCTTCCAAGGATCTATGATATATTCCATGTAGTCTTAATAATTCATGGCCTGTAAGCGTCTTTACAGCAGAAGTGTTAAGCCTTACAATTATGTCAAATATTCACAACACAGCGGAAGTTCCAGGTGGACATTTCACATATAAATAAATCAGTTCACTGCTGTAAAGCTGAAGTGTGCACTCATGAACACACAAGAAAATGTAACAAATACATAATGGATACAACTGAACTGTTGTATTATGCAACTGCATCTTTGGCAAAACAGTGTCACCTGGGTGCACATACTTATTAAATTACAATTTGACTTAATTGGACACACACCAGGGTGTTAATGAAATGAGTATCAGAGCTGAGACGCCACACTTGTTTGTTTCTCACACAAGTTTGTTTCTCAACTAAGTTCATATACATCCCATAAAAATAAATAATAAAGTAAAATTATTAATATCACTACTAAATACTTTTTGGGGCCCTGTATATTCAAACTCAAGTCATGATCCACATGTCTCCACAAGAGGGCTCTGCTGTTCTAGTTTTTAATGTCTCATTACTTTAATCTAATAAAATGGTCCTTTAAATGTCAGGGATCCACTTTAACCTGGATTAAAACATCAGTAAATAAATAATAATTTAATAATCAATAACCCAAGACATGCCTGCGGCCTAAATATTTACAGTTCAAAAGCTTGGGTCAGTAAAATGGTTTTTAAATTAATACTTTGATCAAGAAAGGATTCATTAAATTGACTAAAAGTGACATTAAAGACATTTATCATCTGAAATATAATGTCAAAGAAATGCTGTCCTTTTGAACATTCTATTCATAAAAGATTCCAGAATAATGGTTTCAACAAAAATATTAAGCAGTACAACTGTGTCTTAAGCACCAAATCAGCATATTAAAATGATTTCTAAAGGATCATGTGACACTGAAGACTGTAAAATATAGGTTTGCCATCCCAGAAATAAATTACATTTGACAAAATATCTAAATAGAAATTTAGTAGAACATTCATTTTAAATGGTCATCTATATTTCACAATATTACTGTTTTTAGTGCACACTACATACATTCAGCCTGGATAAACATAAAAGACTTCTTTCAAAAACAATAAAAAACCGACCACAAACTTTTGAATGATAGTGTAAGATTTTAGCTGCAGGGTGAATGTAGTTTTGTCATAATGACTTAGTAGAACATTCATTTTAAATGGTCATCTATATTTCACAATATTACTGTTTTTAGTGCACACTACATACATTCAGCCTGGATAAACATAAAAGACTTCTTTAAAAAACAATAAAAAACCGACCACAAACTTTTGAATGATAGTGTAAGATTTTAGCTGCAGGGTGAATGTAGTTTTGTCATAATGACAGTAATAAAACTGCTAGTTATTGTGAAGCAGCGACACAGTTTTGCTAAAATATGTGTAGATTTACTCTGAAAAGGCCACAAGAAGGAAAAGTAGACTGAATGAAATCGAACTGACACAAACTCCAGGGCAAAGCACACTGGCATTTAAAGCACACTCTAAAACAACAGATGAAACAGATATGGGACATTGGCTTCTTTGATTCGGTCTTCTAAAGGTCACACTGTAACACCTCTCTTAACATCTACAAATTCATGTCAAGACAACAGCAGGAGTCTAATGAACAGCCTGAGGGCAATCAGTGTGAGTCAATGCAAAATCATTCATAGCTCGCAGTGGTAAACAGACTCGAGCTTTACATGTGACGTGACCTTACATATTCCCCGTCACTGAAAATAGAAATGTGTGAGGGTACATCATACAGCACAAATACATAAGCATATAGGTTAATTGGTCACTTTGAGCATACAGCTTCAAAAATGTATGTGTGTGTTTTAAAGATCTGTTCTTGTAACCTGACAGCTTGCGTGTGTGTGTGTGTGTAGGTGTGAAGGTATGCAGGGACAGGTGGGCAGTAGGTCGCATATAGCCAACAGGATAGTCAGTGATTAAAGAGGGTCTCGCATGACGTCTAACTTTCAGTGCGAGGACCCGATGTCCGTGCTATTCTGGGTCCAACACACACCCTTCCCTTCTGTCCCAGCTGTAACCGGACACCTTAACTGCCATTCAGACAAACCCGCTGACGCACACTGCTCTTCAATGAAACCGGATGTTCAGCACTGAAACTGCTGTTAGCAGGCACACTAGGGGGAGCTGATACAAGAAAAAAAGTCTTATTAAAATAATAATAAATCAAATTTGAAAATTGTGTTAAAATTTAAATGTTAGTGTTCAATCGGAAAACACTCTTTACAGAAGTTAACTGTTATATCGAATCCTTTTCTCCACCTGATAAGAGTGAAGTTAAAATAATTAATTTAAAAAAATAAATAAAATAATAATAATAAATAAATAAACAAATACTTGCATAAGTTTAGGCATTTCTTATGTGACTTATACATAGGTAACAAGGTATGATTTCGCCCTCAAAAACATCACAGCATAGTTTATTATTTACTATTTGTATCTATTTGGTTTCATTTAATCATATTTTTAAAATGCAATTATTCAAATTGTTTAGAATCAGCATAAATCTGCTCACTGTGAAAACAAACTTATTCAATTAAAAATTATGAACTGTTAAAATATGACTAGCTATAGAACAATCAATATTTAATTGGTTAAAATTGATAAGAAACAAATTGCACTTATTGATGATAAATATATAAACCTGGTTATTGTGTATTTGGGGGAAAGAAATTTAGTTTATTAAATCTTTGTTTCTTACCCGTTTCATTTATGTATGACTGACAAATATGCATTACATTATGTTTATTATTAGTTTATGTTAAAACTGCATAATCCAAATGAAGGAAAATTGTTATATGCAATTCAAATACATAAATCTTAAATTTTAATTTAAATAAAATATTATTTTGAGAGGTGATATTAGGGATGCCAAAACATTACAATTATTCTTTGGGATCAATGACAATTAAATTAGACCATAGGAAAACTGCAAATAACAAATTACTTTATGATAAATACACCACCTGATTTTCATTTCCAAATAAATTTGCCATTAAAAAAGTATTTCTATGAGTTTCACCAAAACTTTTTAATAAAAAGTTTCACCATGACTTCTCCCACAACCGTCAAAGCTCAAGCTCAGGTGTCTCATTAAAGAGAGAGGAAGCTCCTCAGTCAACATGACCGGTAAATTAGGGCTCTGTCTGATTTCACATTCGATTTTCAAATTATTACAACATAGCAAAATGTTATCATCCAAGCTCCCTCCCAGACAGCGATATTATTAAAAAAGACAATTTGAGATTGAGTTTACCCTTGCAAACCCAGAAAAAGCCAATCAACTGGAGTCTAACTTTATCATAAATCAATTATGTGCAAGAGCAAAAAGGAAATTACACACTGTTTGCACCCAGAGTGTTGCATACAGAGTGTTTAATGTGATTACCTGTGATGTGGTGCCAACATTACAATTATTCTTTGGGATCAATGACAATTAAATTAAACCATAGGAAAACTGCAAATAACAAATTACTTTATGATAAATACACCACCTGATTTTCATTTCCAAATAAATTTGCCATTAAAAAAGTATTTCTATGAGTTTCACCAAAACTTTTTAATAAAAAGTTTCACCATGACTTCTCCCACAACCGTCAAAGCTCAAGCTCAGGTGCCTCATTAAAGAGAGAGGAAGCTCCTCAGTCAACATGACCGGTAAATTAGGGCTCTGTCTGATTTCACATTCGATTTTCAAATTATTACAACATAGCTAAATGTTATCATCCAAGCTCCCTCCCAGACAGCGATATTATTAAAAAAGACAATTTGAGATTGAGTTTACCCTTGCAAACCCAGAAAAAGCCAATCAACTGGAGTCTAACTTTATCATAAATCAATTATGTGCAAGAGCAAAAAGGAAATTACACACTGTTTGCACCCTGGTTTATGTGATGCCAATATTCTCAGACACTTAACATCTTCATTATAAATGAATGTGGGACTAGATTGGCGCTCCGGGCAATGATTTACATTTATGCTGTTTTAATCCCATCTACATGACAGTAGAGGAGGAGGTGATATCTGCTTAGTAATGTTCTCGCATGCTGAAGTTTATATACCACTCACGTGACCTCATGCGTTAATATAACACTTGCATACTGAAAACTGGCACTTTAGTTCTACTTTCAACCCAGAGATTATCGCTACCTTTCAATGATTTATCTCTTATTATGATCCCCCAAAATATTGGACACTATAATATTGAGATAACAAAATATTGAACCAATATTTTCTTAGCAAAAGCATTTTCAAGCAAAATGTTTCAGACTATTACTGGATACAGAGTGTTTAATGTGATTACCTGTGATGTGGTGCTGTTTAGTACTGACACGGTTGCTGCTCTGGATGGAACAGCACAAATGTAGCATAGCCAGCATGGTGAGAATCATCACCACACTCTGCAGGAGCAAAGGCAGCTCAAACTGCTTGCCTATCCTGCAAAACAAAGCAATTAATTTAAAGGGGAAGTGTGTAAAAGCTATGCCATAGAGAAACCAAAAAGAACTGTTTTCAAACAGGTTTCCCAAATGGAGAGCCCTGCCCCAAACGCACGCCATTTGTTGAGCCATCGTTGCTATGTTAGGCTGATACTGTTTCAGATAAGTTCATAAGTTCACCACAGAGCTGAAAATCTTTACACTTTTGAGGGAAACCAACCTTTGAATGGCTTACTTAAAGTTCCCTTTCATGGGAACTTCGAACTGCGTCCTCTAGGGGTCGCTATGGGGAACGGTATACCCACGCCGCCATGCTGAGTTACATAAGTAACCTGAGACATAGTGACAGACATGTGGGGGCGTGTTAGAATGAGCCGTTTTAGGTAGGTGTGGTTGACAACTTTTATAAAGAATATCTCTGGATTTGAGACTTTAGTCTTTGCAACTTTACAGATCTTCTTTATGCACCAAGAGCTTGTAACACTCCAAAGAGAGAGGAAAACTTGAAATCCCATCATATGACCCCTTTAATATGTTTCCCCAAAATATTGGACACTTTAAAACTTTGAGATAACAAAATATTAAACCAAGTAGTATTTACAAGTAGAAAAAGCACAGTGTTTAAGCAAAGCATTTCACACTCCCGCTGGACACACTGTTTAATGTGATTACCTGTGATGTGGTGCTGTTTAGTACTGACACGGTTGCTGCTCTGGATGGAACAGCACAAATGTAGCATAGCCAGCATGGTGAGAATCATCACCACACTCTGCAGGAGCAAAGGCAGCTCAAACTGCTTGCCTATCCTGCAAAACAAAGCAATTAATTTAAAGGGGAAGTGTGTAAAAGCTATGCCATAGAGAAACCAAAAAGAACTGTTTTCAAACAGGTTTCCCAAATGGAGAGCCCTGCCCCAAACACACGCCATTTGTTGAGCCATCGTTGCTATGTTAGGCTGATACTGTTCAGATACTGGTTCAGATAAGTTCATAAGTTCACCACAGAGCTGAAAATCTTTACACTTTTGAGGGAAACCAACCTTTGAATGGCTTACTTAAAGTTTTCTTTGTACATTAAAGGAATAGTTCACCAAAAAATGAAAATGTGGAGAAAACAACAGTAATGTGGCTTAAGCTTTTATTACTTGTGAATTATTCTGATGTTTTATCAGTTGTTTGAACTCTCATTCTGATGGCACCCATTCACTGCAGAGGATCCATTGGTGAGCAAGTGATGTAATATTACATTTCTCCAAATCTGTTACAATAAAGAAACAAACTCATCAACATCTTGGATAGCCTGAGGGTGAGTAAATATTCAGCAAGTGTTATTTTTTTGCAGTGAACTATTCCTTTAAAGTCATGATGTAACTGAAATAGAGACAGATCATTTCTTCCGCATTGTGATGCATATGCAAGTGAAACGGACCGTCAAAAAGAAAACAAATGTAGGGCAGGGTTTGATTCTATCCACCGCCATTGATTGGATGGAGGCAGATCTGGATGCAAATTTTCAGTCAAATGTAAAGGTTTAAGCAGACTAAATTATTTTAGAAGTCCGGCATATATCATACGTTGTTTACTGGAAGACTGAGTCATGGTATTGACTAAAAATGACAAGGTCAAAAAAAAATATATATTTTTTTTAATTGTTTACAATAAGATCAGTAAGATACATTTAGAAAATAGATGGGTGGATTTTAATTTTACATCTTAATTTAATTTTTTGAATTGTATATATATATATAATATAACCTTATACATAAAAACTGCATAATAAAAAATTATATTGGGAAGAAGAAATGCTATTTTAAAAACAAAATGGGATCCAAATAAATAAATGCATACAGACATATACTAAAATGCAGCCTTTATTAATTAGATTTGTTCTTGTTTATTTCACTTTGATTTCCAAATTGGCCATCAATCAATATTAACTCTCCTCCACTCACCAGAAGAAAATGCGAAGTATATTAGCAACGAGCAGCACCAGACAGACTCTTGTTGAGAATCCCTCAGCATTATTGGTCCTCTGGATGTCCTGGTACTGGGGGACGTAAGGCACCGCACCTCCAAACACCATCACGCCAGAAGCCAGCCAGGAGAGCAGAGTCCATGAGCTCTCCATGTTCTCCTCTGACCCCTGCTCCATCGCTTAGTCTTTCACAAATCACTGTCTTTATACTCCCATACCCTGCAAGAAGAGGTTAGGAAACTTTTATATTGGATCACAAATATAGAAAGTGCAATGCAGTGTAGTCAAGATTAAATTAGCAGTCTGCTAGCTAAAACTAATAAAATAGGCATATATTGCTGCAACAAACCCTTACAGCACCAATAAAAGCAACAGTGCCACCTTCAGTAACCTTAAAGCTCCCACAGGTACAATAATACTTACAATATAAACACACTGTAAATGATTCATGTGGGCCTTTCTGGACATGAAATACAATGAGGGGCAATTTTCAGAGTAGTCAGGAACAGTAATAGTCATCTGCATGCTGCCACCCATTCTGACAGTATCTCTGCTAAACAGGACGTTTGTGCTCAAGGAGGACTGTGCACCAAAAGATAAGGCTCCTTTTTGTTTCTGACCAAACAAACGTCACATCAAAAGAACAGGCTGAGTTGCACGTTCTAGAATACACTGCGGAAAAGTTTCTAAACTGTTTTGAGCTTACTTTGCAGCGTCAGTTCCCCAATTCAGCACAAGTCTTTGAACAGACATGTTTCCTGAGGGTGTGAATATTCTTTAAAGGGTGTAAGAAAAGGTTTGTGATGCAAGAAAGTGTAATCTATGCTAACATTACATTTATTTTTTTCTGATTAATTCATTTTTCTACTTGACCTGCAGCTTTACTGGCCCAAACACACACACATAAAAAAAACAAAGAGTGAAAAATTTAAGGGGGTCTGAATACTTTCCATACCCACTGTATATATATATATATATGAATTTAAATTGTAATTTTATATTGTGCATATTCTTAAATATACATAATTATAATTTAAGTAAAATAAATATAAGAGCTTTTGAAATAAATCCTTTTAAATATTTTAAAATACTTAAATATTTATTCTATTTTTTCACACGTATAATTTATTTGTCATCAAATGTTATATTTTCTTTACAAAACCAAAACAATAATATCTGGAAATCAAACTGTTATTATAATTAATTTGAAACACCAAGATAGCTATAAATCCATAAACAATACTGCATTTTAAATTGCATATACAAATTTTAGTCCTATTTGTACATTTCAGTGTCTTACTTTGTGTATATATTTATATATTCATGTATTTTCCTCATGTGTTCATAAAAAAAAAAGAGAAAAAAATAAATTTCATATATTTTTATTTAAAAACACATACAGTATAACGATTTACATAAAACTATAAAATAAATGCTATTCTGCGAACAAAAGGGGGCAATAAATGAAAAATGGTGGCATAAATGTCAAAACTTTAGAGAGTGGTTTGTCATTTTAACCAATTCTTACAGATGTCGTCACTTTCAACACATCTTTATCTTTTTTAGCCAGTATGAAAACTCTAGCTAGCTACTGTTGATGGTTGACAAGGAAAATTTGCAATTTTAAAACTCAAGATCAAAATCAAGTCTAAAGGTCCTGCAACATTTTAAAGGAGATTTTGTGGGTTTAAGTGATCAGATTAGTAAGGAATGTTCCCTAATCCCCATGAAGTCAGCTGGAACCAAGTACTTAAGCATTGCTTGTGACCTGGAGGTCTAGCAATGAGAACTGCTACTGTACATAGAGGTGTTGCATAACTTCTGCATTCCATAGGGGGTTGGGCTCTTCTGACATGTCTCCACCTTTCTCTCTTTTGTGTCTCCTACATGAACAGATGTTTAGATCCAAACCTATACTGTAAACAGATTTAGCTGTGCTGGACATAAGAAGGCTATTATTTTTCTGGAATGGCAAACATGGGCAAAAAATACGTTTGGTATGCTTGAGGCACTTCATATTGCCAGGTGCACATCTGTGTTATGATCTTTAGAAATCGGATCCAGCAGCAAATTCGGATAGCAAGAAAATCCCTTAAATTGGTTCCAACCTAAGAGTCGGTTTACATAGAAATGGTTTGTCACTACATTTGAAACTTTTTTTAACCGTATACAGCATTAGTACGGTGGCAGAGAGGTGCAGAACAAATCACAATTCTGAAAACAAAATAACAAATTACAAATGCAAGTCTACAAAACAAAGAAACAATTCAGAAAGCACAACAACAATTCAGAAAACATTATAACAAGTCAGAAAACACAATGACAAATTCGAAAACAAAATAACAAGTCAGAAAACACAACGACAAATCCGAAAACAAATTAACAAGTCAGAAAACACAACGACAATTCAGACAAACCGGAAGAGGTAGGTATAGTTTGAGACAGTGCCATTGGTTTGGGATTACTCACCGCTGACTGGACGAGACATCTGTCAATCAACGTATACAGGAAGAATCAGCCGAAGAACAGCAGAGTCGTGGTAGAAAGTTCGGAGATGGTATTAAAGTAGCTCAGTTTAAATGTTTTGTATGAATTGCCCTTACTATGGAATAAAAAAATACGGGGTGTCTAGTAATTGTCTAACTATTGTCTAGTTAAAAGTGGTTATAACACATCAGCTCCAGTGGCGCAGATGGTTAAGCGTGTGCCCTTGGCTTTTTGACGCGATCGATCAGGGGTTCGATCGCGTCAAAATGCCAAGGGCAAGCGCTTATCTATTTGCGCCACTGGAGCTGATGTGTTACAGCCACGTTTAACTAAATGTGAATAGACACCCCATATTTTTTTATTCCATAGTAAGGGCAATTCATACAAAACATTTAAACTGACCTACTTTAATACCATCTCCGAACTTTCTACCACGACTCTGCTGTTCTTCGGCTGGTTCTTCCTGTATACGTTGATTGACAGATGTCTCGTCCAGTCAGCGGTGAGTAATCCCAAACCAATGGCACTGTCTCAAACTATACCTACCTCTTCCGGTTTGTCTGAATTGTCGTTGTGTTTTCTGACTTGTTAATTTGTTTTCGGATTTGTCGTTGTGTTTTCTGACTTGTTAATTTGTTTTCGGATTTGTCGTTGTGTTTTCTGACTTGTTATAATGTTTTCTGAATTGTTGTTGTGTTTTCTGAATTGTTATTTAGTTTTTTAGACATGCA